CAGAGCTGGCACAGCCCAGGAGGGTCCTGCCCCGGCAGTGCCACCCCCAGGGGTCACACTATGCCCCGCACCAGCAAGCGCCAGGCACGAGGGGATGTCACACGAGTGTCCCCATGGCACAAGGGGCTGTGTCACACCAATGTCCCCACGGCACAAGGGGCTGTGTCACACGAGTGTCTCCTTGGCACACAGGGCTGTGTCACACTGATGTCCCTGTTCAGGAGGGGCTGCACCCCACCTATGACCCATTGCATGCAGGGCCCTATTGCACCAATAACTCCATTGCACAGAGGGTTCCATCCCATAAAAACCCCATTGCACAAGGGGTTATTGACACGAAAACCTCATTGCATGGGGGATTATATCCCATAAAAACCCTGCTGCACACAGGGCTGCACCATTCAAATAACCCCATTGCATGGGAGATTACACCCCATAAAAACCCCATTGCATGAGGGGCTGCACTGTACAAAAACCCCCATTGCAGAAGCAGCCCTACTGCACCAACCCCACTGCATAAGGGGTTACATCACATGATAACCCTGTTGCATGAGGGGCTGCCCCATACAAATAACCCCACTGCATGAGGGATTACATCACAGAAAAATCCCATTGCACACAGGCCTGCCCCATAAAAATATCCCCATTGCACATCAGCCCTATTGCACCAGTAACTCCATTGCACAAGGAGCTCACCACAGGAAAACCCCACTGTATGTGGGGGGGCTCTATCACATGAAAATCCCATTGCACAAGGGGTTACATCCCATAAAAGCCCCATTGCATGAGGAGCTGTGTCTCACTAAAACCCTGCTGCATGAGGAGCTGCACCACTAAAAAAAACCCCATTGCACGAGGGGCCCTATTGCACCAACAACCCTGTTGTGTGAGAGACTGCACCACACTAAAACACCATAGCATGAGGGCCTGTGTCACACCAAAACCCCATAGCATGAGCGGCCCTACTGCTCCACCCCCATTGCCGCCTCACAAACCCCCCTTGCACAACGTCCCACAACTCCCCAGACCCCAAATCACCCGTGACCTCCCGGGGGCTCCCCCATCCCTGCAGCGCCTCCCAGGCTTTGGGGCCACCAGGAGGGGACAGCCCCTACTGTCCCCATTCCCGGGGGGCTGCAGGGCCCCGGTTCCGTGGTCCCTGAGCAACCCCTGGTACCCCGGGAGCCCCGGGGCCGGCTCCAGCGCCCCCCTGCTCCCGGTGTGTGGCCGGGCCTGGCTCCTCTCCAGGGCCGGATCATTTTCTCTCCATTCTGCCAAATTTATGGCAGGAAAATGGGCTCCGATTTCTTTTTAATATTCGGAGTGGTGAGGAAAAAGCCGCAGCAGGCAGGGACGAGGGGAAATGCTCCCCCCAGCCTCAAGGGCCCTGGAGGCTGTGCCAGGCCCCACAGCCCGGAAAAGTTTTTGTAACCTCGGATGGGGGTGGGTGAGGCCACCGCGGGCTGGGGACGCTGAATATTTCATGAAGCACCGCTCCATGGTGGCTTCACTGCTCTGGATGGCGGCAAACAGGGCCCAGATCCATCTTCCCCCTGCCCGAGCATCCCCAGGGATGGATCCCGCATCCCGGGGAGGCCTTCTGTCCCTGTCCCCTATCCCCTGTCCCTAGTCTCTGTTCCCTGTCCCCTGTCCCTAAGGGGACGGCCTGGCTGGTGGCTGCATGCCCAGGGTGGTCCTGCCTGTCCCCATCGTCCCCAAGGTGGGGATGGGGATGGGGACATGGCAGGTCCAGAGTCACTGCGTGTCCTTGAGCCTCGGCCACCAGTGTCCCTGCTCCGGGATGTGACACTGCATCAGGACAGCCACGGGTGGCTCTGCCACCCCCTACTCGGAGACAACGGACAAGGGAGAGCTGCAGATGTCACCAAGCTACGGCAGGACCCGCGGTGGCCACAGCAAAGAGTGACAGCACTTCCCGAGGCCGGGAGATGCGTCGGGACACCCCATGGCCGGGCTGCAGCAGCCC